GAGGAGGAGGAGGAGGAGGAGGAGGAGGAGGAGGAGGAGGAGACTGGATTTATACTTCGCCCTTCACTCGGAGTCTCAGAGCGGCTCAAAATCTCCTTTCCCTCCCCCTCCCCACAACAGACACCCTGTGAGATAGGTGGGGCTGAGAGAGCTTTCTTCCAAAACTGCCCTTTCAAGGACAGCTCTTGTCAGAACTATGGCTTGCCCAAGGTCATCCAGCAGATGCAAGTGGAGGCGTGGGGAATCAAACCCGGTTCTCCCGGGCTAGAGTCCTGCGCGCTTAACCACCACACCAAGAGGAGCATGAGAGAGGATAAAACCAACACTGTGTTGGCAGCTTGCACCAGAAGGATGCTTTTAATAATCTGCGCCGTCGATCAGATCTTCAGCGGCCAACCAGAACCCCCGCTGGCAAGTGCCGCGCCCACTTTCTCAAAGCATTTGCTGGGCATCAGGGAAGGTGCTGGTGGGTGCCATGGTGCAACCCATCAGGGATCTTTCCGGGGTCCCCTTCTTCTCGGCAGACCCATCCAACCCCAGGAAAGTTGATTCTCAGGGCCGCGGCGCCCCACGGGGGTTGAGGGTGAAAAATCACCCCTTCTGCCTCTTCAATTGGCAAAGCTGGAGAGCTTCCTAGGGTCCAAAGGGACTGCCATGGTCAGGTGAATTCAGGAAAGATCTGCGATCCTGGCATTCAGGGGTCACAGGATCCAGCCCAGTAGCTGCAAAGCATCGCTCATGGAGAGGGAAGTCTGGTACTTCTGGGCCAGGAAACTGAGTCATGCCCAACGGCAGGGTTTATCGAATTTAGGCTCCCTCGCAAACCTAAAAACGGACAGCTAGAATAAATTTCCTTTGCGAGTTCTGGCACTCTGTCAAATGTCAGGAGCTGTTCCTCATACAGCCCCCCTTTGCGATTTTACTGCTTTGAGGCGGAGAGTTTTTCTGCAAAGCTTTGCAAGGAACCTAAACCAACATAACGAATCACACCCTGCAAAATACATCGGCAACCACAAGAATAGGAAGGAGTGCTCCCTCTGGATGATATTCAACAAGCATACGCGGTCTTCTCCCCTTTATCCTCACAACAGCCCTGTAAAGCAGGACAGTAGCCAGGATTTTGTGGCTTGCGGGGCAAATTTTCTTCTGGTGGGGCTGAAGTTCTCAGTGCAGAAAGAAAAGCCATTTAGCGAATAGAAAGCTGTTACCAGGATAGATCTCTAAATTGCAAGCTCTCAACTGCTCTAGACGACAGCTGCTGCAAGTTAATCGCTTCTGCCAGCCTAAGCAACAATTCTGAGAACAAGCCGGCAGGTGGGGGTGATGACTTCTGTAGTCAAGAAAGCTCACACTTGGGTAGAAAAACTCTCTTAAAGGAGACCCGTTTCCTGACACAGAGTTCGAAGGGATCCTAGAGGTCACCTACTCCAACCCCCCCTGCTCAGGGAATTAGTCAACTACAGCACCCCACTCTGCATAAAGGCGTGCACGCCTTTTAAAATGATTGAAGAAAGCATTGACAGTCCAACACTCTGTCACACAGTGGCAAAAAATAACAGGTGCCATATGTTTATCTAATTCCCTTTTGAAGCCGTCCATGCTTGTAGCCGCCACCACTTCCTGTGGCAGTGAATTCCAAGTGTTAATCACTCTTTGGGTGAAGAAGTACTTCCATTTATCCGTTCTAACCCGACCACTCAGCAATTTCACGGAGTGCCCACGAGTTCTTGTATTGTGAGAAAGGGAAAAAAGTACTTCTTTCTCAACCTGCTCTATGCCATGCATAATCTCGTAAACCTCAACCATGTCACCCCTCAGCCCTCGTTTCTCCAAGCTAAAGAGCCCCAAGCGGTTTAACCTTTCTTCATAGGGAAAGTGTTCCAACCCTTTGATCATTCTCGTTGCCCTTTTCTGCACTTTCCCCAAAGCTATAATATCCTTTTTGAGGTGTGGTAACCAGTTCCCCCACCTATTGCCGAGAATACCCTTTTTGTGCTTCTGCCAGACTGTTTCCGAGGCAGCTTGTAATATTACAACACAAGTAATATTAGTGCCAGAGAATCTGGCCACTTGTAATATTACAAGTAATATTAATGCCAGAGAATCAGGCAACCCTGAAGAGCCGGCTGTCCCCAACGCATCTTTCCGTGCACGGGCACATTCTCCGCAACCCGGGGTCAAGACAGCGGCAGCCTTGTGCTTAATTACGAAGCCGGGCCTTGGCAATGCGACAGAGGAGACTCATTAAAGCGCACAGGATGAGCAGACGGGGGGGCCGAGCAGACGGGGGCCAACCCGCGATGTGCCAGGAGACGCCAAACAAACGGGCCCGCCTCACAGAAGAAGAGTTTTGTTTCGCAGGCTCCGATGACAAGGTCGTAATCCCGGCTGGATTACTGAGGCGGAATGACTTCCCGCCCCAAACCCAGTATGGAAACAGACTGTTCCCCCGCCCAACGTTAATTATCAGGAGAGACTAGAAATTTCCAAG